AAAAAACCCAATATTCACCTCTAGGTGAACATCGCTCATTGAAGCGTCAAATTCGACCAATCAGCGCGCTAGAATTATGATATTCACTTATGAAATTATACTAAATATATTTAGCTTATGCCTTGTAAAATATAGTAACATTTCGATTTTTCCATCTAGTTGCAGCGATTTCTTACCTAGTTTACTGGTTTGATAAAATCAATGAGACACATTGTATGGAGTAAATGGCTATGAGGGAATTTAAAACCCCAAAGCCATATTCAATAATTTATAAAATAATCTATTATTTTTAACTAAGATTAGTTACAATGAAAAATAAAGGGAAGTTATATTGCTAGAAGGATGTTATTCCGGGAGAAAGACCCTGGTAAATARGTTCGGAAAAATTAATGTMCGACCTCGTTTGGATTCGAAGCTACGACCCTCGGATTTGTACTACCGATGCTCTAGCAGCTGAGCTACAAGGTCAAACTGGGAGCAGGTCAGGGTGAAATAGATGTTAGGTTGCGGTAATTAGAATGTAAAGATAAGGACCGCATGGTACTATGAGATACATGATATAGAAATAAAGGAGAGTTATAGTGTTGGTAGGGAGAAGTGCTATAAGTCTGACCTTTGCACGTAGCTCAGCTAGTAAAGCATCGGTATAGTACAAATCCGAGGGTCTCAGGTGCGAATCCCAGGTAGGTCGGAAATCAATTTTTCCGAAATTTTTTCCAAGGGTCTTTCTCCCGGAATAACCTCCTTCCTAGCACTATAACTTTCCTTTATTTCTATATCTTGTATCTCATAGTGCCATGCGGTCCTTACATTCACAAAATAAAATAAAACTTGACCAGTAAAGGTGTGGGACAGGCATTTTGATGCTTAAGAAATATGTTGTTAGAATGTACCTGCGTAAGTCATCCTTACAACATGGCTACAACTGTCGACTTACGAACTAGTTGGGCAGGAAACAGTATTCATCAGTCGTATACCAGGCCCGTAACCAAGGGTCATGGACGAAAAAGGTCTGCTTGAGCAAATTAATCATATAAATTTGATGGGTATGATGGACTAAAACTAAATTATGAAAAAAACTCATTCATGCAAATATGACAAGCAGCGTACTTTGATTATATTTCATTGTCTTCTAGGAAAAAAAATTCAAAACAAAAAACAAAAAAAAAAAAACACTGCAGTATTAAAATGGTTACAACTGATTAGTATGCGCCTTTTTGCGCTCTCGCGTATTTTGTGAAGTATTATTTGTGAGCTACATCTGTTGATGCAGTGAAATGCAGTGAACTAATGTTTTTGTGCGCACATGCATCCGGTAAAAAWTCCATGGTTACGGCCTTGTATACCTATAGCCAAATGAGTTGTAATCGCCCTATTTCAATTATGACGTCACAGTATGTTTTCATCCAATTTAGGGAACAGACTTCAACCGGAGTGGAAATTRGGACCCATTAATATTCTCTCCGAAAATAGAACCTCAATGTATTGTTTTGATAAATGTCATGAATCAAAGATTGATCGTGTACATTCTATACAAATTTCCATTCTTAAAGTTTAAGTTTTTTTTTGTAATTTAGTTCGAGTTCGAAGTCAGAGCGGACGCAATATTTTGCTTTTTTTATTGTCAAGATATTGCGAATAATTGTCATTGATATTGTATCAATTCAAGCGTATATTAAACTCTAGARGTTCTCTCTAAAAAATCTCAGAGAAAGCATTATGAACAATGTATACAATCTCATGTACATACATACTCTGCGAACAGAGCTACTTTTCTCACCCGCCGAAAAAATTAGCTCTGTTCGCAGAGCAGCACATACACATAGTGCGCGCGGTTGTTCATGAATGTTGTTATACATGAATTATAGTGTATTCCAAGACAACAATTGTTGTTGCTAGTTAATCTTTGCGTTAATCTTAGCCGCGATACAAAATGGCAAATTTATATTAAATTTAATTGCTTTCCAATGAAATRAAGTTATTGACTATACTGGCATAGTCACTCTGAAACCATAAAAACTCACAATATACACACTATACACGATCTTATTAAGTATAAACGCTTTCTATCTAAAATAGCTGTATACTAGTACCCAGTGCGCCTCGGACTGGAACTAATTGCGCGGACTTTGAAACCCCGTCAAGTCCGAAATGGAGGCCTTTAAACATTACATAATCACTGTTACTTCTGTGAAAATTTTGAGTGCAATGGAATCGAAATTTACGTAATTGGAGTTTAAAAATACGCGCGAAACGCTATTTATTACGATCGAAACACCTTAAAGAACCGCATGGAAGGGCCTGGGATGGGTAGAGTCTCATCGAACAGAAAAAAATAACCGGAGTAACATAAAAATAACCAAATTATTAATGATCGTTCCCTAATACATTCACGTATGTTTTTTATAATGATATTTCTGTTTCTTCGGTACATCCTGGAAAAAGGATTGTTTCCGCAGCTGGTCAAGCCAGGAGCAGAGCTAATCTTATAGGAATACGTTGAACGTTTTGATTGATAACTGGCAGTATCTATCAAATGATCCATTACCAAGAAGCAAAGTGGGTTAGCCACGCTGTAAAATATGTATTTATTTGTTTGTTTGTTGTTTTTTTTTCTCATTTTGGTCTGAACAGATAAAGTGATGCGACCTACTGATGGAAAATCAACATGTTTTCATTTTTAACTCAATTTAAGAAGGTCCTACCGCTCATTCGCTCGCTTTGTATGCGGTCATCTCCATTAAAAAATAATTTCCAAACCGTAATACGAGCCGACCGCTAACCACGAGGGTCATAAATATTTATTAGTTTGATCAATGCTCTTCGGCATAATGACTGTACTCGCTGATAATCTTGACACGCTTTAGAYAACTTCACAATTGAAACAGTTTGCAAGAACATTAAATCAAGAAATAATTCAACAAGTGCAGCAACTCCATCTTCATTATATAAATTCAGATAATGAGCACTAGTGAATATTTTACACAGGAAAGTGAGAACCAATTGATTATCACATAGCTGAAAAACACATTTAATTTATTAACAAAAATCCTTGATACCAYACCTAATACGATTTTGGGCTAGTTTCTCTTGTGTTTGGTACTATTGTTTTTGTATCTTTTTGTTTTCATATAAAATCATAATATTTGTCACGAGTTCAATGGAGGTTTATTGAAAAAACCTCAATTTGAAGACTTAACGTCAATGATTATATTCGGTATACAAGACTATCCAATAGATGAAGCGACTTGAAATAAAGAGCTATGCGTCAGTGAATCAATTTCTTTGATTTTATTATATTCTAGATCTTACTGAAGAATTGCCAAGGACGAATGCCAGCAAAGCGATTTGTAAGGAAACAAAGCAAATGGTCGTCAAGGGATATCTTAASCATTCGTTTCTTGAAGGGAAAGGAAAGAATGAAAACGGAGTCAGTCATTCTCAAAGAAGTATTTATCGGAAATTTGCATTGTCATGTTTCATTATTTATCGTAGAAATTTCTTTTTTTCGTTTTACATAATTTATTTGAAAAAACAAAAAACAAAAAGCAGAATAATAATTCTTCAATCTTTTTTTGTCATGGCATAAAAGGAGACATCTTATCATTATGAAATATTTTGAAAGATATCCATTTGAAACACCATGAAACAAGCAGTATTTAAAGTATTGGAATGATTTAATAACATTAGCATAATTGAACATCACTTCCCACTCAGTTCAGTGGATTGGCTGAGATTGTAACCAGTTGACGATGGCTTGCTGCGATATCATTTTGCATTTGTTTTTATATATTATCAGTCTAAAATCTTCCTTGAAGAGAGCATTTACTGTTTCAAAACAGACTAATTTTCAGCATTGAGTTCTAGCTGACAGTCTATTTGCGAGGATTTCTATATGTAGATTTTTTTGTAGTACTGATTTGTGCGTAATTCTTCTTTTTAACGCCAGTGAGACCTTTGTCTTTTAACTCGATACCCAGAAACTCGCAGTAAAGTTTATTAAATTGCAAAACAAATACAGGCGTTGGTAAACAGAGAACAACAACTACACCAAATATGGCGCAAAATGCGCCAACTATTTTGCCAGAGGTTGTTTGAAGTACAACATCTCCGTATCCAACCGTCGTCATAGTGATAATGCACCACCAGAAAGATTGAAAGATGCTTGTAAACTGAGGATTTTCGTCTTTTTCTATAAAATAGACCACACTTGAAAACATCACTACAGAGATTATCAAAAATATAGCTAGAGAAAACAGTTGATAATGGCATGTCCTTATCGAATAACCAAGAATTCTCAAAACGGCAATGTATCGYGTCAGTTTTAGAACGCGTGACACCCGGAGCAGACGAAAAACTCTGAGAACAGTTAAAGTAATAGCATGTTTATACTTTGTAGTTACGTAGAGCGAAATAAAAAAGGGAAAAATAGCAATTAGATCAATTAGGGACAAAGCTGAGAATATAAATTTGATTTTAAAAGGCGATGAAGCAAGTCTGGCCAGATACTCGAAGCAAAACCAACTTGTAATGAAGGTATCGATCCAAAACCAAGTTTTTGGTCGAACAGTATACATGATCTGTCTAGATCCGTTTAGGTTACTGTATGTACTGTTTTCCAAAGGTCCATCCAGCCAAGGGTCAGCGTGAGCATCTATATAAATTGTCTCTGCGCAAAATGCAATGATCGATAAAATTATCACGACAACCGAGAACCTTGAGAACCATTTGGCTTGATAAGAGGAATCCGGTTGTTCAAGAAAAATCCATAGCATTTTTTGCCATCTATAAGACGGCAGAGAACAGGAGTGATCTTTTAGGACATTTGTGCTTTTGGCTCTCATTCTGTCTGTAATACCATAAAAATTAAGCTCATCTTCAAATACTTTTTCAGGAACAATATCAGGTCGCGACAAGATTCCTTTGCTTTGGTAATAGAATAATATTGCATCAAATGAAGCCATGTCACGGTCGAAGTAATATTCCTTGTGCATGTAGTCATAATAAGCCATTCGTTTTTGCACGTTTCCCAGAAGTGTTTCTGGGAATTCTTCAAGTGTTTTCTCAAAAGTTTCAAAACGAGCACCTCGAATATTTATCACCACGCGTTTTGGTTGTCTTTGTAACTGAAATCTCTTCAAACACCTATCCATATTCCCTCTTCATTTCATTAATATAGTTATATTTCGATAGTCCTCTGCACTTGCATTTCAAACAAATAAGACGATGATACACGTAAAGAAGCGTGTGCGGCAATCCTTGCCTGTGAACGTTGTCGACGGGATTGTTTCYAAATTACAAAATCACAATTGCTGCAAATTCTACCAATGAGTATAGAATTTATCTATTTCTGTTTTTTGTCCAGTCCCCWAGAAGGAATAAAAAAACAATGCGTTGTTGTGAATTTGGATGGTAACTTAACAAGCGGAGAACTATCACTGGAACCGACCAGTATACTGGTCTGAATAAATGAATAAAGAAGTGTTGCTTATTTTATCAAAAATTCCTGTCGTCACATTTTAGTGTTGCAAATTTTGTTTTCATTAATTTCTAATCTCATTTGACGAACATGAATACGATCGCCAGACTGCCCATTCATAAATAATGAACAATATTTCTATTATTGTTATTTTAACGTGATAAAACAGTTTTTAATATACTTTTCAAACCATATCTTCGCTCTTTGAAAAATTGATATCATTTGTTAAAGGAAAAAGATTATATTTTTGTACGATTTGATGATGTACGATGTCACTGGATAGGTAATTGTGCAAAATTTTGTGCGATGTTTTATGTGGTGGACGGAATATTATGTAAGCCCAGTTAACAGGAGTGGATCCAAAGGGGTGCACATAGAGGGGTGTCCSCAGTCATTGTTATGTGTATCCCTTTTTCATTAAATATCATGATCATAATACATATCATGATAAAAATAAAACATGCTGTTCTTAAAGTGTATATGACACAACGCTTGGCCAAGTGTCATTGGTTGCAGGCTTCACAATTTTGCGAAAATTAAGTTTGAAAATATATTATGCTAATTTGRTGACGTCAAAGTGTGTGCTATTTTTACAAAATTTCAATTTTGTCGTGAGCTCTTAATTAAATAATTCCTTTAAGTTTTGGTTACCCATTTCACTTTTTTTCATGATAAAGCCGACAAGTGGAAGCAAAATATAGACATGAAGAGCAACAGAACATCTGTCAATCAAATTTATGGATMTGGATACCGTGTTCAAGGTAACAGCAATGTTTAATACATGTTTCAAAAACTCATACATAATTAAAGAATTATTATAGGCCAATAGAATGAGCCTATTTGATAACATGCATGYATAGGAGGAGCCGACGGGTTCCTGGGAGAAATTTACCTGTTCTTAAGTCCTASCCAGCTGTAATTCACAACTGGTTGCCAGCGAGAAATTCAGGAAAAAAGAACTCTCCAGGCAAGGAATAGCATAAAAACGTCATATAAGCCTTTTTTGAACTTAAAAAACTCATATATAATTAATGAGTTGTCAGTCAATAAAATGAGCCTATTTAGTCACATTCATGGACCTTTATATCTGATTAAACACTCCTTATTAGTATTCTTTATATAAAAATACTAATAAGGATGATCTTKATCAGATATTAGCCTCCTCCTCAGGCATCACTAAGAATCACGGGCTTCCTGTCCTTTTGGAAGTCAGATGAGGGAGAACAGGCTGAGGGAGAAATTCGACCTCGTTCCCAGGGCTACTCTGCTCGCTTTTTTTCAAAATGGCGCCCAGAGAGTCGCYCAGAGATAGCCCGGCTATCTCTGGGCGCCATTTTGAAAAAAAGCGAGCAGAGTAGCCCGAGGTTGGGAGAAATTGACGGCGTGAGAGGGGAGGCAGGCATCACAAAGAATCATCAATTCCTGTCTTTTTTGGGAGTCAGAAGAGGGAGAATGGGACGAGAGAGGGGACCGTTACATAGGAACCTCAAATGTAGAAAAAAGAGTTTGTTAGTGGGGAGGTAATCAGATATAAAGGCCCATGATCCTAGCAAAGGTCTCAGGTTTAATACCTGATCATTAACCAATGCATGATATAAACCGATTTCTTTAAAAYGGCCACCAGTGGAAAAATAAAATGTGTCTTCATAGGCGTGGTTAAAAGCTCTATTTTGTGAATCGTTCAAGTTATGAAATTTCGATAATTTAGAAATGGACGCGAACTATCATAGGGGCCTGAATCGAGCCTAGTTCCGAGGCAAAAGTTCTCACATCGGTTGATATTTCCACTACGAATTGTTTGAAAGTTGGTTTATAGTTAAAAGACGTTTATAACAGGAATGAATACCTTAGAATYTCCACCATTTACTTTGAAAGGCTCCGGAAATGTGAGATGCGATTCCTTAGTAGACGTCACGTTAGTTACGCGCTCAACCACGCCCAAATTTAAATTGCCACGCYCAGCGCGTAACTCGATGCAACCTAAATAGCTCAGTGTCTTCGAGTTGCGCGCTTTTAAATCAAAGACAGTATAAAAAAAAACTTTTTACGACTTATATTTTTCAGGCAAATGAAAGAAAAATACTCTTCTTTTACAAAAGGCAATTTTATTAGACAAATATGTCAACCCCTTACGCTACAAAATACAACAAGCCGCCAATGGCGACACAACTCGAAGATTGTTAGACAAGTATACCGTGGAAATAAATTTGTATGAAGCCCCAGACTTTGTTCAGGTATATGGTCTAATTTCGACAAAAAATCCATAAAATGAAAATATTTAACTTGAAATTTTGAATTTGATAATTTATAGGCATTTGTAACACCTTAACATATCGACAATGAATTATCCACACCAACACAATTTCATAGTTTGAAGTGATGATACCTTCACTTTGAATGCTGACTGTTAAACTTTATATTTTGAGTTCTTGGTTGTTGTAGTGTCGTCGGTCCATGCATCGATTTCTTACGAAGGATAAACGGTTTATATGACGTACGTGTGTATTACCCATAAATGTAATAACAACCATTATCCACACCAACACAATTTCATAGTTTGAAGTGATGATACCTTCACTTTGAATGCTGACTGTTAAACTTTATATTTTGAGTTCTTGGTTGTTGTAGTGTCGTCGGTCCATGCATCGATTTCTTACGAAGGATAAACGGTTTATATGACGTACGTGTGTATTACCCATAAATGTAATAACAACCATAAATGTAATAAAATCAACCATAAATGTAATAATCGACCCCATCTTAAATGTAATAAAAATCGACCATAAATGTAATAACCCAAACCCACCTACCTGATATTCTATCGATGAAGAACACTCTCTGACGATATTCCAAATCTCAGCAAAAAATTGAAGATTGGTTTTAACCGCACGAATTCTCCTATGAATGACTGGCTAATTTATTACTGGGGGTCCCCCATTGTAAATGATAATTTGATGGGGAGGGGAGGGCAAACACATAACACTAGTGCCCAGTGTTCGGGGAAACAAAACTCGGAGGAACACAAAACCCTGTAACACCGCTGTGAAATCGTGAGCGATTTAAATGATCTGAAAAACACTTGAGAAAATACACTTCATTGCTAWCGATGTTGCAGAATGAAAGCTGTAACAAATAAAGAGCAATAATGATATAAAACAATCAGATACACTCACCAACTTGTGTTTCAAACTTACTCAAAAGTGCGTAGTTACCGATTAGTTACCATGATGCATTTTCCGCGTTCTTTATCGTGAAAGAGATCGGAAGGTCGAACAGGTTTCGGAAAAGATTCGGTTGTTCGAGTGCTCGGTTGTTCGAGTATTCGGGTGTTACAGACTTGTGGACTTGTGGACATTCTGACATTGTGGAATCGGGCGACAATATAGTGGATACTTCGTCCTAAAGGACGGAGTGACCACAATAAAGTAAACGAATAATTTGCGTAGTTTACAAAGGTCTTCTGCATCGACTTTGGCTTAATCATGTTAACTGCTACAGCGCCATCAACAATGACAATATCAACACCAGAGATCTCTTTTTGAGGAGTTGCGAAGGACAAGAGACATTCAGTCAGTTCCGATTTGTGGGAGACGCAAGCCACCATTGTGAGAAATAGATGGAGGATATCCATGATGTTCGTGTTCGAAGAACTCATCTAGATGTCTTTCACGATTTTGATAAGGGATAAACAGTCTAGAGAAAAGGGAACAGTCACTTTTGGCAGACAAAACTTTTTGTTTTTCTTTTATCATACTTCCGGTCACAATGCCSACTATTTGAATAAATATCGTCATAATAACAGTAAGATGAAGTCTTATATTGTAATATTATGCCTATCAGTCTCTTTTGAAATGTTTTTCACTGAGAAAAAGATGAACTTTTACAATTCMAAACAATTGTATATGATCTCAAGATTATGCAAGTTTTACTTCCGGTTAAGATGGCGGCCATTTTGAAAAACTCGCCTTAACAATATTTCACAATGCCTCGGCATATCTGACTAGATTGATCTACATTAAGAAAAAGCTTTCGTCATGCAAAATACTAAAAAGTTAGTGTCTCAACGGGTTTTATCCGGGTTTGTAGTATGATACCAAGTGATTTTTTGGTTCTGAACCCGTTCTAGTGGCTTCTGGCAACCCATAGCGGGTTACAAGTTTTGCTATTTTTGTGGTGTTGTCGACATAGTCCTATTAATCACATAATATTATATATTGACTTATTAATCCTAAATAGGTACCTGTCCAATCATTAATTGGACAGTTAGGGATAATTTCAATTTCATTTTGTTGGTATATGATATATAGTGTATATTTCATGGGCGCGCGGAGATACAGATTTTATCTTCCGAGTGTTGAAAAGATCTCTCAGTAGTGATCGTAGCGAGATTTTCAACACGAGAAGATAAAATTCGTATCTCCAAGGGACCATGATGTATATTCTGTTTATCATATAATTACATATGAAAGCAAATTAGTCGTAAAATACTTTCTTCTTACTTCCATTATATAGAGAAACCTCGAATGTGTTATTTTCACTAGTGAAAATATCTCGTAGATATTCTGTATATTTTTGACCAGACAATTTGAAAACTCTGATCTGAAGCAGCATATTGTAGAGACAATAATGCAAACATGCAAAAAATGTCAGTCGGCAAGAAGTTTCAATCAAACCAGCATGTCGTTCACCCATGGGAGTACCTCAGCACTGCGTTTGTCGAGAGCCCATGTTGATTATGCAGGACCGTTCGAGGGAAAAAAGTTCTTGGTGACATCCAACACRCATTACTCTAAATGGCTGAAATAATCCCAACAGTACGTTGTTCGTCAAGAACAAATGTCAACTAATTGAGGAGCGTCTTTGCAACGCATGGTTTGCCAGACACGATAGTCAGTGAACAATGGCCTCGCATTTATTGGATCTGAATATGTATTCCAGGACTTTGTAACCCAAAATGGAATCCAACATGTTTTCATTGCACCATGCCACCCTGCCACAAACGGGCTARCAGAAAACTACGTTGAAATGTGGAGATATTGATTTAAGATTGCAAAGATTTATCTTTGACTTAAAATAAATCCCTCACAATAGGAGTCTCACCATGTGAAYGATTGTTCAAAAGGAGGATCAAAAGTATATTTGATTTGCTGATGCCTTTAGTGGAGAGAAGAGTCCTTTTTAAAGACAAGCTGCACAAATTGCAAATCGTCCTACCACAAAATCCGGACCGGAAGAACTGGACACCCAGGCCCGTACGAATCGTCCGGATTTGTTTTTCAAAACGAACTGGATTCGAACTGAATCCGTGAAGGAYCTGGTTTTCAGTATTAGTTCACAAACCAATGCGATGACTTTTTATTTCATACATATAGTCCTATGCGCGATTACCACTAAMTAGCCTCAAGCGTGAAGCACTTTCGGGTTGTCAAACAGAGAATAGAAATATTATTATCATAAATATTAATATTAATTTGCTTACTTGTTGTTGGCACTAACATTTAACTCAAAGAGAGAACCTTACTGTACTTTGGTCAATTAATAGCTAGTGACGACGAATCGACAAGAACGGACGGTCGTCGATCAGTGCAATTTCAAAGTATAGGACCACTGTTTTCAGAATTGGTTCATTTTGTAATCCATTTTTGTCTTAGAGTGAGATTTGCGGTTTTATAGTGCTGAACTTTAAAAAGATTTTTSTTATCAAGAAAAACCATCAATAATTGCAAATCAAAAGAAACKTCTTTAAAACAAAACGTTATAGTATTTAGTTATTGATGATCTTAAAAAATGAATACAAACAATGCAATGCGGTGTTGTCTCAGCATGCTGATGTATCATTTCCTGAGCTTAGTCGCTCAGCTTGGACGTCTTTGCGGTTAAATTATCAGACCTCTCAGTTCTTCTCACTGATAGCTTTAGTTGTCGAGAATTGTAAGGATGATTAATTAAGGAAGGATAGAAGATACTTCAAGGGATAACAGTTACATTATGGCTTTCAATGTAGCTGCGATCTTGCGATTGTTATATTATCAAAATCAAAGCAAAAACTGTTGGGAAGTTGTGTAAGTTACTTTTTTATGTTTTCTTTACTCTAATTAACTCTAACTCCATGTATAGTATATGAGATGTATGGTAGCAATTAACTTTGCTCTTTTAAGCTTAAGTTCAAGACATACTTTACTTCAATGTAATCATATCAACTTGTTGGCTATAAAGCGGGTTTACAACATTAGCCATGCATGATGATTAACAACATCAAAATTTTTATTCCATTTATTATCATATTTCTATTTAAAGTCTTAAATTTTTCCCACTTAAACTAAAAAGCGACGTTAATATATATTTTTTATTGTTATTTTTATATCAATCATTAGAGTTTGTGTAAAGTAAATATACGCATTTGTTTATTAACTAAAAACATTTTAAGGCCAATAGAAATTGCATACCCTAAGTTGAAAGTAGTCAGAATTCAGTAAATATGCATGTTTTGACAACGCAGTTAATACAACGAAAATGGTTTTAATCTAGGGTAATTCATGCCAAGCATTTTGAAGAATAACTTATGATATTTTAAGCAACAGAACTTGGCCGCGGGTGGAAATGTTGCAATGTCACCTGTTTGTCAGCTTACGAGGGAAACAAATGTTAATATTGTCATAATCCGACCTAACCGATAGCAAAATACTTTTGCTTAGATCACATCAAAAGCCTCCGAACGTTTCTTAAGTCTTTTTCATTATCAGCAGTTTAAATTTAAATAAAAACGAGGTCCTTCAGTGCTATTAGAATTATAAAGAATTTAAGTGATGTATAAGCGTAAATAATGTTCCAATGTAGTTTAGAAGAAATATTAAAATGAAAGAGTTTATTTATTCTATGTTCAATTATCGCCTTCGTGCTAAACATGATCTCCTTCCCGGCACATAAGTACTTTGTATTTTGAAATTATATTTGGGGCTCACGAGAGCRCTTTTAAATATCTTAATATTTGATGATTTGTATTCATTGAGTCACACGTTTTATTTTGTACACCCTGCAGGTGAAGGATGCGASATTCTTATAAGGAACCACATTAAGATTCTCCTAAACAGGTTGTGAATATCAAAAAGAAGATTTGACAATTGCATATCAACGCAAAGGACGCTCCAATTGGCTATCAAATATACTCAACAATATTATAGTGCGATAGATTGTGRGAAAAGAACCGTATTGGTTCATAGTGCAAAGCCGTCTGCAACACATAGCTTTGATAACTTGCAGCTCGATGTTTGTCAGGGTACAATAAAACGTCTTATAAAGAAAGCAAGAACTCTTGAAAATTTTAATACCTATACCCTTATGTTTAAAGGAATCAGTAGTATATCTGCTCCAACTGGTTTTAAGCGGCATACTAGTTATTATCCTAACAGAGAGCTGACATATTCAAGTCACATTCCAGCGTATAGAAGCCCACGAATCGTTATTAATGTCAGCGGTATGCGTTATGAAACATATGAGGAGACATTGTCGAATTACCCAGAAACTTTGCTTGGGTGTCCCGTTAGACGCAAGGAATACTTCAACCCTTCCACTAATGAATACGTCTTTTTAAGAGACAAGCACAGCTTTAACGCTATCTTATTTTATTATCAATCTCGTGGAATTCTCTCTAAACCAGATGACGTTAGTGAGGTTTTGTTCTCCAAGGAACTTGAGTTCTATGGTATAATACCTCCCTGGGAACAAGCTAATCATGAAGAAAATAACATGGAAGAAAGCCAAGATATTGCTTTACCTCCAAATTGTTTAAAACGAACGTTATGGCTATGGTTTGAATATCCACGATCCTCCAATGTTGCCCGTGGGCTGGCATTGTGGTCAGTTTTTGTAATCGTTGTTTCAACAATTGCATTCTGTGTGGAAACATTGCCTGCTTTGAAGATAAGAAAACAATTTAGTACCACTGTAAAAAACATAGTTTTCAACAATATTTCCAGAGAAGATATCTCAGGTCAATGGAATGTTACAGAGCGCTTTCAAAGCGATCAATCTGCTCAATCACATGATGTCGTTGATCACTGGTTTATCATTGAAGCGACGAGTGTTGTTTGGTTTACCGTCGAATATTTGGTGCGGCTTTACTCAGCTCCCTGTTTTATCAAGTTTGTGCGGTCTCCTATGGGAATCATGGATATTGTAGCTATCATGCCATTCTACTTTACCCTTACCATTACTCTCAATCCCTTTGAAGTCCAGTCTTTCGCTGTACTTCTAGCTTTACGGTTGTTTCGAGTTTTAAGAATTTTTAAACTCTCTCGTTACAGTTCAGCACTTGGTCTTTTAGTGAAAACCCTATACGCAAGCAGCGATCAGTTAAAGTCTTTATGCTTTTGTTTCTTGGTTGGAGTCATACTGTTTTCAAGTGCAATTTTTTATGCAGAAGATGATGTCACCACCTATCCCAGCATACCTCATGCGTTCTGGTGGACGATCATAACGATGACATCGGTAGGGTATGGTGATGTAGTACCTGTTAGCATTGCTGGTAGATTAGTTGGTAGCCTTTGTGCAATGTGCGGCCTTATATTGTTCTGTTTGCCAACTCCCGTTTTAGTTTCCAATTTTATAAAATACTATCTGAACGATGGAATCACAAAAGACCAAAAAAAGAAACAATTCGCTGACAATTTGAAAGCTTTATTTCTTCGTAATTCAAAACAATGATTTCACATAAAAACCAAAGACATTTTAASTTAAAAATTGAAACGACATCTTAGACTTTAACATAAACTTTCTTCCCATTTAAATTTCTGAACATAGATTCCTGGGGGGAGGGGGGGGGGAATCAAGAGTCAAGGGGCAGGATTGTGTACAGGATTGTTGCTACAGATCACAATCCATCCAAACCAGAGTTCCTTTACRTATTTAGTTCTAAGAAGTATAGAAAAATACTTCACAATTTTAWCTTCAATCCAAACTGTATATAGAGCAAAAGCACTTACACCATGAAGTCAAACAAACTAGTTATTAACTACTGGTCGGTATTTAGTGGTATTTAGTATTTAGTTTATGTCACAAAGAGCTATTTACGGTTTTAAAGGGTGATTAAAGTTTCTTGAATGACATGTTTTCTCTTAAACTAATTGCTCCTTACAGTGCACTGTCTTACCTTTTCAGTGTATTTTACGAAGTATTCATTTTCCAAAATATTGACATGGAGCACAGGCAACCCAAGCAAAGCATTTGATTCAAAATTGTTTTTTTTAATAAAATACATTTTACCTTAATCTCATGTGTTGCTGATGTTATTTAACATTGCTGTGTATGGTTTTGAAGGGATTTAGAGCTATTTTGTTAAAAAAATATCGCCATCAGTCATAAAAGACTACAAGGCTGGTTACAGAGCGTCCACGCCACTCGTCTTTGAAAGCCGAAAAAAATATCTTAAATCCATTTTTTGCCTCCAAAATCTCCTCAGCGGCATGTCTCTAGGATTCTTCTATCCAGAATTGGGCAATATTTCAACGGACTTCAAATCCAACCGTGCCAAATTGTCATGTTTGTACKATATTCTGACTCAATTTTTGAATCCGCTCAAGCATTTTTGTCATAACTATGACGCAAAACAAATTTTTTTGTGCTCTAGCTTACTTTCTCCGCAATACTACTGAACTCTTTTATGATACTTATCAACTTCACTCAGATCAGCTTTGCCTATTCTTCGTTCCACTATACGTCACAGCGGCAATCTTGGAGTAACTTTAACAAAGGATTTCTCATTAGTATCTAATATTGTCCATTCTTCCAACATAGCCGCCGGTCTTTTGTCAACGAGGAGACAACCTGAAATAGCTTACGGGAATCGCCAGAGCATTGATTAATCTCTTCAGTGTAGTAAAGATGTTTAGAGTCGTGGAGTRGCTTTGTATACTTGTTGCATATTTCGCGATAGGCATCTTTGTCAGATTCCAGATGACTTCGCAAAATTTTCTTCTCAAATCTCCTTCGCTTAGCTTTCAAGTCCTTCAATTCTTGATTAAACCACGGGACCTTAGGCCTCACAGTAACAGTTTTGTGCAGCAAGGGAGCATTCATGTCTAAAATATCTGTAAGTACTTTGTCATAGGTCTTAGCCAAGTTTAACAGGTCAGATGGAGGATCATGATTGTCACGTTACTGCGTGACAAGAGCTAGTATGTTTTCCTTTGGGAAAAATTATCTAATGATTGGTTTTGTGGCACGGACATTTTTATTCAAATTWATAAACTTATGAGTGTTGTTTGGAGAGAATATAGTAGAAACATTCAGAACACACAAGACGAACGCACCGAAGACCGATTGCGGCTTCAAGTAGAGTAATAAAGGATATTACATGTATGCGCGTATAGGCATAGGCTACCCAACTATTACTTGAGAGAAAGAAAAGAATGAATGCGCACGCTTTTATATTATGTTATCGAATCGGTGCGCGCTGTGGGTTACCTGTGGTTTTACCTGCGGTATTACGTCACGATCGCGCGCCTCGCGGGATACAAACTAGTGTCTGTATCCCGCGAGGCGCGCGATAGTGACGTAATACCACAGGTAACCCACAGCGCACGCTGATTCGATAACATAATATAAAAGCGTGCGCATTCATTCTTTTCTTTCTCTCAAGCAATAGTTGGGTAGCCTATGGTATAGGCGAACGAGTGAAAGGTTTTAAACACGA